AGGCGGCTTCCTGCCCTCGGGCTGCCGCGGCCCCGCAGGCGACTGAGGTCAAGAGTGCTTGGGAGGAATGCGGGTGTAGAGCGAAGCCGGGCTCCAATGCCTTCCTCCCTAATTGGGTTAGGGAAATAATCAGCCAGACTCCTGCGCTCGGCGGGGCAGGAGCTGCGCGCTGCTGTGCACGTGCCTGCCTGCGTCGCCTTCCCTGGGGGCCAGGAAGCGGGCTGGGCTCAGCTAGTTCTGCTGCGAATGCGCTGCTGCGGAGGAGGAGGAGGACACGCTGACCGCTCACCGACTGCTGCCCTTTCTCAGCCCCCAGCTGTCTACGAATCCTAAAGTCGAAAGCATCATCCACGCTTTTCACAGGGCTGCAGGCCTTGGAGTAGCCCCACTTCTGTGGAGTCTGGTTATCCGGCTGGAGGGAAGAACCGCTCATGCTCCGAGTACCCGGCACTTTCCACAGCCAGCAGCCAGACCCCTGCTTCTCAGATGGCGTCCTGAAAGCCAGAGGGATGTGCCCAAGGCTAAGGAATGGGGCTGAGGTTCCAGCAGGGACGCCTGACCTCGCGGCCGAGTGGAGCTGCTTCTCCGTGTGCGGGGATGCGGGCAGTGCTTGGTCCAGGGAGGAACAGGCCTGCATTCATTAGTTCTGTTCCACACATATTTCAAACCCCCACCGCCGTGCCGGCCAACGTACTGGGCCCTGGGCGAACAGCGTGTGTTAGACACCTGGCCCTGGCTTCTGGATTCGTTCACTGATGAGGTTACGGCTGAATGTGATCTGGGAGGTGAAGCCAGGCTGGAGCCGTGGTCATTGGGGCGGAGCCCAGAAGGGTCTGTCTGCCTCTCTGCTTCCCACTGCGCTGACCAAAGGCTGTTTCTCCTCTGCCTTGCCGCCCTGCCTTAGGGCTGGTGGAGCACGGACTGAAACCTCACACACTGTGAGCAAAATAAACCTTTCCTCCTTGAAGTTGTGGCTGTGGGTATTGTTTCTCAGCAACAAGAAAGTAATTTAGCCCCTTCGGGAAGTCACATTTATACCAAGACATAAGGGACAAGCGTCCCAAAGAGGCCTCCTTCTAGGACACTTTCCCAGTCCTGCCCGCCTGTAAAATAATAGCCTTTCTGTAACCTTTACCTGTTCTCTAAATTTGTCTGCTTTTTGTTTTTCAGTACTGGGAATGGAACCCATTAGGCTATATCCCCAGCCCTTTAAGTTTTATTTTGAGTCACTGAGTTCCCTAGGCTGGGCTCGAACTTTCAATCCTCCTGCCTGAGCCTCCCGGGAGCTACCTGTGCCCCACCATACCCTGCACACTCACTCCTTCTTCACATGGATGCTGCCTGTTTGAATAGTCCATTGCTTTTTCTTTTATGCATCCGTGGCTTCCTTCGAGAATCTGCCCAAGGCAAAGAATCCTTTCCTTGGAGGCCTGACCATGGTCAGACATGCAGTATGCTGCTTTGAGCTCACTTCTCTCACTTGGACAAGGGAAAATCTAGAAAGTACTGAGCTTGGCTGAATGGAGTGGGGAGGGAAAGCAGAACATTGCATATCTGCCTTTGTTTGGAGGCTTTCAACTGCCCTGATGAGGGTAGCATGGTCCAACCAAAGGCCACTTGGTAAAGGAAGCTGATTTTGGGCAGCTGCAGCCTACCAAACACCGAGGGTCTGTGATTGCAGCTGCTTCTCATCTTGAGCATGAACTTAGAGGCTGTGCTTAGAATAAATAACCAAGCAGCCGGTTACAGCGTAGGGGCTGCTGGGAGTTAGGAGCACTGCTTGGAAGAGCTGCAGCCCCACAGCAGCTGGCACTACTGACTGGCCTTAGTCCAGGAAGAGCTGGCTGGGTGAGACTCATGTGGCTCCAGACTATTCCATGGCTCCCCGTTAGTCAGGCTCTGAGCACCTTCCCTGAGCAAATCTCTGGGATTGTGAAGATAGCTGAGTCCTCTGTCTCCAACCCAAGCTCACCTCCAACAGGCCAGCCTGTCCCCTGTCCCACATCCCTCTGTGGCATTCATCACAGCCTGGACCTCGGTAGTTGTATTAGTGTTTACTGCCTGCTCCCTCTCACTGACCACAGGCTCCCTGACCCTGATGATGCATCTTATTTCCTCATAACAGCTTTGTTGAGAGATGATCATTCACGTACCATAAAATTCACATTTTAATGTGTGCAGTTCTGTTTTTAATATAGCACAGAGCAGTACAGCCTTGGCCATTATGTAATTCCAGAGTGGTTTCCATCACTCTGGAAACATACCAGATACCCATTAGCAGTTATCCCCTCCTAAGTCCTACCCCAACCTCTGGCAACCACTGATCTGTCTTCTCTTTGTGTGGATTTGACTGTTCTGGGCATTTCTCATAAATGGGATTATACAGTAGGCGGCCTCTTATGCTGACCTTTTCATTTGGCACATTTCCAAGGTCCGTTTCTGGGGACCATGTGTGATATGTCCTTGCATGGGTATATTGCATATCCATTTATCAGTTGATGGACATTCCTTTTGGGGACTGTTATGAATATTGCTATTGTGACTATTCACATACAATTTTTTTTTTTTTTTGGTACTGGGGATCGAACTCAGAACCTTGTGTTTGCAAGGCAGTTGGTGGAACCACTGAGCTAAATCCCCAGCCCTCACATACCTTTTTTTTTTTTTTCATTTCTCCCAGGCATATACCAAGGACTGGAATTGCAGGAACAGGGTGAGAGCCTGCCAAACTCTCCCACAGTGACTGCACCATTTCCTTTCCCATCAGCATCCAGGAGGGTTCCCGTTTGCCCACATCCTCACAACCTTTGTTTATTTTGAGTTTGTGTATGCATTCTTTGTCGCAACCATCCCAGTGGGTGCGAAGTGGTATCTTGTTCAGTTTGTGCTTCCTGATGACCAGTGATGTTGAGCATCTTTTCATGTGCTCACTGACCATTTTTAACCTTCTTTGGAGAAATGTCTGTTCAATCCTTTGTCCATTGTTGTATTAGGCTGCTTCTCTTTTTATTGTTATAATGTAAAAGAGTTCTTTATATGTTCTAAATATAGTTTCTTAGGAACAGAGTATTTTTCAAATACGTCCCATTCTGTGATTTGCCTTTTCAGTTTTTTCTTTTTGTTTGTTTTTCGTTTTTTTGTTTTATTGGTTTTTGTTTGTTTTTTTGAGACAGGGTCTCACTATGTAGTTGAGACTGACTTGGAACTCACTATGTAGCCCAGGCTGGTCTCGAACTCACAGTCATTCTTTTTTCTGCCAACTTCATTTCTCTTTTCCTTTAGTTTTGCTTCTGTTTAGTTTCCCTATTTAACACAATCTTGCTAAATTGTGTTCTAAATAGTAAGTATGGTAGATTTGTGAGCAGAATTTCTCTGTCATAAAAATCTTTGTTTTGGTCTTTCAGGGGGCTGGTCTTTCTTGTATAAAATTACACAAATTCACACACTTCGAAGTTATCTCTTGCGGGGTTAGTTGTTATGTCTGGAACTATTAGTACGTGTAGAAAGAAAGCGAAATGTTAACGATTAGTGAGTTCAGGTAGAGAGTTCTTCGGAGTTCTTTGTACTGTTATCTGAACAACCTTTTTAGGGTTTTTACTGTTTGTTTTTCAAAAAACAATCCCACACACAGAAGGAATTAGCTGTAGACCCTGACAGGTTACTATATATCCTACATTTTTTTTTCTTCCAGTACTGGGTATTGCACCCAGGACCTCACATACGCTAGGCAAGTGCACTACCACTGAGCTACTTCCTGAGCCGCTCCACCCCCACCCCTTTGAGACAAGGTCTTGTTATGTAGATCAGGCAGTTCTTGAACTTGCTGTGTAGCCCAGGCTGGCCTCTAACTCACAGCAGTCCTCCTGCCTCAGCCTCTCAAGTGTTGGGATTACAGGTACGCGCCACCACATCTCTCTAGCCCTTCTGACTTTTTGAGACAGAATCTTGCTAAATTCCCCACCTGAGCTTGAATAAACTATCCCTCCTGTGTCGGCCTCCGGAATAGCTGGGATCACATGCATGTGTCACCTTGCTCCATCATGTTAGACATTCTGCCTATATTTTTCATTTAATCCTGAGCTGCGAAGGAGGAAATAATAAGAAGGCAGGTGACTAGGTCTCAGGACCAGGCTGAGGAGTGCAAAGAGTTTAGATGTGGGTCTCTGGTGCCCAGGCTTTCATTCTCGTATGGTCTGTGTATCTCACATTTCAAGCCCTTCCCCAGGGAATGACTGGCTCCCTCTGTCCTTCTGGCCACTTACTGAGCCTGTGCTTAGGGAGGGAGCATGGGAGATAGGCCTGGAGGTTCAGGAGTAGAGGGACTGCCCTCCTGAGACTTGAAGCAGAACGAACAAGGGTATGGAGCGAAGCCCTCCATCCCCGGCTGCTCTACAGGCAGGGCCCGGAGGTCAGCATCCTGGGGCATCGGAGGCTCTCCAGAGGCAGCTCTGACCCACGTCTGCCCTGCCTGTCCCCTAGGAGCTGAAGCTGCCTGCCTTCCGAGCCCACTCCCCACTCCTGAAGAGCCGCCGGTTCTTCGTGGACGTCTTGACTCTGCTGAGCAGCCACTGCCGGCTGTGCCCTGCGGCCCGGCACTTGGCCATCTACCTGCTGGACCACTTCATGGACCGCTATAACATCACCACCTCCAAGCAGCTGTACACCGCGGCAGTCTCCTGCCTCCTGCTTGCCAGTAAGTGCAAACCCTCCTCTTCGTCTGCTTTGGTACTGTCTCTGCCCCTCAGCAGGTGTGCTGTCACCACAGGATGGAGCATTTCAGAAGGCTTTGCACAATTCCTGTGTTCATCCTTTGCTCGGGGTGAACTATATTTATAATTGCCAGCATCTTTAACATCCGTAAAGCATCAGACTGAGAGGTAAGGGTTTCAGCAGCTTGACTTTAATAAATCTGCAGGAGATAGACACTTTCAGTACCCCATCTTATCAAGGCCCAGGGAATTTCGGAAACTTGCTTTGAGCCAGGCATGGTGGTGCACACCTGTAATCCCAGCACTCTGAGAAGCTGAGGAGAAGTGCAAGTTCAAGTCCAGCCTGGGGTGACTTAGTCAGACCCTGTCTCAAAACAAAGGCTAAGTGTGTATCCCAGGGCAGAGGCCTGGATCCAATTCCCAGGGCAAGGAAAAAAAGAAAGGGGAAAAGAGAGAGAAGTGAGAGAGGATAGAAAGAAGGAAAGAAGAGAGTTAGCTGCTTTGGGTTACCCTGATAATATATGTCAGACCCATTTTGAGACGAGAAATGCCTGGTGCCAGGCCTGTGTTCCTAACCTCTTATCTCCTGCTTCTTGGTGTCTGTCCCGGGAGGGAGCCCTGGCAACCAGTGTTCTGAGATGTGTTCAGAAATGTGGCTGCTCCGTTTGGCCCTAAGCAAGACCCATTATGCAGTCACGAGGCCCAAGCACAGCCCTCTTGGGGTTTGTACCTCACACAGAGGCCTTGCTGAAAGCACGGCCTGGCTATGACCATCTGTCCGCCTCGGGGAGGATTACTCTTTAGTGAGCCGCTGTTTGAACACTGTCCCTGGGGCTCAGCTCTGCCACGCCACCCTGCCATTTCAGATCTCCTGAGGCTCACTAAGACGCTCAGATAAAGACCATCCTCTCTGACCCCGTGCCTTTTTCCTCTTCACCCTCGGGGTTCTGGCCCCGCTGGCTAAGCAGAGCTTTGTGGGAGCTGCTCCCTTTGATCCCCCCGAAACGTCACTGCGGGCCTGCACTCTAGGAACCTCCCCCACTGCTCTCGAGGGGTTAGGACTGTCCTGTGCAGACCCGTGGCATCATGTGCTTGGAATGAACATCCACTGTGCCCACTAGCCAGGGAGTTTCAGAGACAGAAAGGAGCTTGGCACAAGGTAGGACCTCATAAGAGCAATTGCGCAACCAGCGCAGAGACTGGAACTAAGGGTTCCTGTGGAACCTGGCTTCTGCACCTCTCCAGATTGCCCTTAATGTGGTGCAGAAGAAGGCTCTAAAGCCTCCCGGCTCAAAGTAGCCAGCGGCAATTAGGACGTTGCTTTGGTAGCTAGTATTTTATCTTTAGATTGCCATCGGCTCTGTCACCCTCCTCCACCATCTGTTACGTCCTCTTGTGTTGCATTTCCCAGCCAGTGGCACCCGTTTTCTGCTGTTTGTAGCCATAAATCCCCAGCAGCACCGGCACCCAGGTGGAGAAGCACAGCTTTAGAGTTGTCCAAGTCTTCTTATTTTCCACTTGGAACCTTCTCCCTGCTGGGGGTTAGTCTCTTGGACTGCTGTGGTTAACTCTCACTGCCTGTGACTTTTCTGCCTCGGCCCAGCATTATTTCCTGGATTCTGCGTGAGACTCCTGCTCATTGGGAATGCAGCCTGTGCCACCTGAAGCCCCAGATCAACACGCACCCCTTTCACCTCAGGCAGACATGCAGGGCTTGCAAGACCGCAGTGAGGGCATTTCAGAGCGCTGGGGAAATCTGCACCGCGGCCTTTGGCCTGCCGCTTTCTCTGATCTGTGGGCTGCGTCAAGCCTGCGGGGGCAGGGGGACGTGACAGCTCTCCCCAAGCGTCTGTCTGGGGACCCGGGACATGCAGCACACACTGGAGTCGCCTTTGTTCTGCTGTCGCCATGCGGGAGGGTGGGGGCTTCAGACGAGAAGCAGACGCCCCAACGCACGCGTCTGCAGGCTGCAGCCAGCCTCTGGGCGGCACAAAGGGATTTTCAGGACACCTGCCATATGCTCAGGAGGCCTGAGGAAAGAAAAGTTTCCATGACAGCCTGAAATCCTATTCATTTCTCCCTTCCTCCGTGCTGGCCTACAGTCACCCATAAGAGGATCACCTTGCCTCAGGATGTTTGCAGTTCTGCTAATTTGGTCCCAGAGTATTAGGTGATAAGAGCTAGGATTCTTCCCCTCCAGTCCAGCTTTCTCTAGCTGCTTCCAGATAAGGGCTTTTCCAGAGATGGGACCTTCTTACCTGCCTACCATCCCTCCTGCCCTAATAAAACAGGAACCAGGCAAGGGCCGGGTCTGTGAAAGGAAGCGCAGCAGCGAGAGCGCTTAGTTCATTCCACCGAGGACATTTCCCTCTGTCTGTGACTGAGCCAGTCGCCTCTTCTGCCTTACCACAGGACAGAATGGCAATCTGTAGGATAGATGCAGGACTACTATGAGTGCAGGAAAGTCACTGTCTTCTTTAGTCTTTCATACCTCACCCCCCAGCTGCTCTTTAGTGGTTCTTGTTACCTGATTAAAAGGATGGCTTGACAGATTGGAGACCGCAGGAATTCCTGGGGAGCTGGCCTTGACACGAACCCTGACACTGTACACACAGTGGCTGGAGCTTTGCTGTATGCGGGCTCCACACCATGCCTGTCCCTGTGCCCCGCGCTGTACACACTGTGCTCAGGACCCTCACCCCCAGCCTGTGTGGTCCTACTCTCAGATGCCCACTTCTAAGATTCAAAAAGGCCAGCTAGTGGGGGCCAGGGATTTAGCTCAGTGGGGCTGCCTTCTGCCTGGCAAACACAAGGTCCCAGGTTTAATCCCCAGTACCACCAAAAAAAAAAAAAAAAAAAAAAAAAAGGCTAGCTAACCTGCCCAGCATCACAGTACTTGGGGCTTTTCTTTTTTTGTTTTTAAAATTGAGTTACAGAGTTTGATCTCCAGTACCAAAAATAAATACATAAATAAATAAATAAGTAAAATTGAGGTACAATAAAAATTTACCATTTTAAAACGTGCAATTGAGCGGGCATGGTGGCACACACCTATAGTCCCAGCACTCGGGAGGCTGAGGCAGGAGGATCGCTTTGAGTTCAAGATCAGCCTGGGCTATATAGTGAGTTCCAGGTCAGTCTCAACTACATAGTGAGACCCTGTCTCAAAAAAACCAAAAGACAAAAGCATCCAATTGAGTGGCATTTTGTTCTAGAACATTTTCATCACCCACCCTGAAAGGAGCCTTCTATTTCTTTCCTCCTCTAGCCTTGGCAACCACTAGCCTGCTTTCTGTCTGTGTGGATTTGCCTGTCCTGGCCCTGTCACAGAAAAGGGATCATAGGATCCATGACCCTTTGTGCCTGGCTCGCTTCGCTTCCCGTAGTGTTGTCAAGGTCGCGGGTAGCGTGTGTCGCACCTCATGCCTTTGTGAGGCTGGCTCATATGCCGTGTTCCGCCATGTACTCGTCTGTAGAGGGGTTTGGGTCATTGTGAATAGTGCTGCTGTGAATGTTCAAGTGCCAGTTTCATTTGCACACTTGTTTTCTGTATTTTCAGGTATACACATAAGGGTGACTTGCAGGTCCTACATTAACTCTGTGTTGAACTTTTTGAGAGGCCTTGGGAGTTTTGCTTGGCCGGATAATCTGTGCTCAGAGGTGACTAGACTATTGAGTCCTTAGCTCCAGGGTAGGGACCAACCAGGGAAAGAGGGAGAGTGGCACAGAAAGGCAAGAGTGGCCTTTGCTAGGGTCCCATGCCTGAAGTATGAGAGCTTACTACGGTGCAGGAAGTATGAGATATTGGCCTGGCATGGTGGTGCCTGTAATCGCAGTACTCAACGGCCGAGGCAGGAGGATTGCTGCCAAGTTTGAGGCCAGCCCGGGCTACAAAGTGAGTTCACGGCCAGCCTGAACTACAAAGTGAGTCTCTGTCTCGAAAAACAAAACGAAAAGAAGCATGAAATGTGTTTTTATTGTTAAAAAATATCCAAAAGCTACCCAAGTACTGAGTGTAAAAATGACTTCCCCCATGTTCACTGTCCCGTCCCACAGTTCGGTGTGTGTCTCTACAGGCATAGATGTGCTCAGGTGTTTTTATATCAGGGAAAGCTGTCTTCATTATGGGGGCATTATACGCATGTGAACCTGACCAGTAAACAAAGTCGGCAGCTTCCCTCTCTCCTCCCCTTTCTGTTGTTTTTCCTTCCCCATCTGCTGCCTATCCCATCTCATGGCTAACGTGTGCCTTCTCTCATCATTTCTGGTCCCCACTCCCGCCCTCGGAAAACAGAGATTCTCCCTGCCCAGTTGTTTTCCTCTGATCCTGAGGCTTCCAGTCTGCAAAGTGGCAGAAAATGGCGGTGGTAGATTCATCTGCTTATGGGGGTGAAGTTGAGATTCCAGTTTTCAGAGGTGAGGCTAAGTCCTATGCTGGCCTTTCTCCCAGCCCAGGGCCTCTCTGCCTGGAAGGGACCCTGCTTTGGCACCGGTGTTCCTGCCGCCCCAAGTGGGTTTCTGAGGCCTTGCTCAGCTCACCTGTAGAGGCCCAGCTTCTGAGTGTAGGTTTCTTAGATGGTGTACTCACTAAACAAGACCAGAAGAAGAAAATAAAATCTTTTTCCCATCCACTTTTTTTTTTTTT